CTAAGGGGTTCGGGGTGCCTGGATGGGCTGAGGGGTTCGAGGTCTCTGTATGGCTGAGGGGTTCGGGGTGTCTGGGTGGACTGAGGGGTTCAGGGTGTCTGGGTGGGCTGAGCGGTTCAGGGTTTTCGTGGGTAGGCTGAGGGGTTCAGGGTGTCTGGGTGGACTGAGGGGTCCATAGTGTCTGTGGGTGGGCTGAGGGGTTCGGGGTGTCTGGGTGGGCTGAGGGGTTGGGGGTTTCCACGACATGCTTTTCCATGCTGAGGCAGGTGCAGGCCGCGCTCTGTGGACTGAGTTTACACATGGGGCCTGTCTTGTCTGTGTCCTCAGAGGATATGCAGCGGCACCAGTTTCTTTAGCTCAGGAGGGCCTGGGCCATGTCCCTCCCCGTGGACACCTGGGCCATCACTTTTCCTTCCTTTCCTGCCACCCACGGCTTCTGAGACCCCTGGGTCGACCGGACAACTGTGCTGTGTTTCCCCCTGGACAGCTCCTCAGCTCTGTGCTCTGCTCTCGCCATTCCAGGGTCTCTAGGACTGTCCACGTCACTTGCCCACCCGAAGACCACACTCGGCCCTGCTGTGGTGAGCCAGTTGTGGCATTTCTGGGCCACTCCCAGCAGTGCTCAGGGCCCAGCACTCCGGGCTCACTGCTGGCGGGCTCTGGGGGGCGGGATGGGGGTGTCTGGGCTGGGATCCTTGCGGGTGTGGGGGTGTCTGGGCTGGGATCGGAGACAGTTGCCTTGGGCAGGCAGCCCCTCCGTCCACGCTGCTTCTCCAGCCCCTGTGGCCGTGTTGAGGGCCTTGAGCGCAGCTGCCGAGCGAGGACAGCCTCTGCGCCGGCCGTACGCTAGGTGTCCACTGTGGTCATTCATCAGGTCCTCTAGCCCTTCCGCCAACAGCCAACCCCATGCCCTGGAGCCTGAAGTCGAGAGAAGTGGGGCGGCCGCAGTCTTCTGGGGGGGCCGTGCCGCTGCGCCTGCCCCATGGCCCTCGTCCCGTGTGGCCCCCTGCTCCTCTGCTGCTCCTGTCTCAGCCAGAGGGTGGCAGGCCAGGATTCTGAACCGGGTGCTCTCATGGGAACGAAGCACACAGCCACCCTGCTGACCCCTCCACCCCACCACGCCCCCCACCCCTGGCCGCATCTAATCCTTTAATTGCTGCCCCCACAGGGCCCCGAGGAAGTTTGCTTCCTAGTGGTCAGCAGAAAATAACTCGGCCAACAGCAGTGGCTTTAAGAATGTGGAAAGCTGTTTATTATTGTTTGGGGCTAGCTGGGAGCCACGTTGGAGAGAGCAGAGAGGCCGGGGGCGTGGGGAGGGCCACACCTCCTGTCTGCTGCACCCCACAGGGTCCCCTTGCTGGAGCAGGTGGGGGTGCATGCTTGCCCCCACATGGGGGCAGTGGGTGGAGGCGTTGCTCTCTGGGTCCCCTCTCTGCCCCCGTCTGCAATGGGTTATTTCCGTCTGTGGCTTTTGCCTCGGCAAACAGGCCCCCTGCCTGTGTTCCACCCCGTCCGCATTCCCCCCCCACTCCTCCTGAAGCCTCACGAAGAGGGTGCGGGGCGCTGGCCGTGGCCAGCTGTCCCGTCCCTCGCCTGCCCTGCAGCGTCTCGGGGTGCTGGGCTGCTGTGGGGCCCAGGGCTCCAGGCCCTAGGGATGAGCAGCCGGGGGCTCAGGGAGGCTGCAGTGGAGAGTGTCCAGCTGGACTTCATTGTCCAGGCGACACGTGCCCCCCACTGTGCCACCAGGGACAGCCACGTGGGGTGCTGGAGCCGCCAATAGTTGTGGGGGTTTGGGACCCCTATCTCCCGCCCAGCCAGAGCAGCCAGAGGGGATGTGGATGTGTTGGCCGGGCAGGGGCAGTGGCTGGGGGTCAGGGCCCAGAGATGGCCACTGGGCTTCTGGTCCTCCCACGATGCCCCTGCAGTGCTGCTTAGGCTGAGGGTGGTCAGGCTGGACTGGCCCGGCCACTTGCAGCCAGTGGGGCTGTGCTCCATGGCTCACCATGGCAGGGTTGCAGGGCAAGATGACCGGGCAGGGGTGGCGGGTGCCCCTCGGCCTCTTGGGGCCTCAGGCTGCGCGGGTGCAGAGCCCCCCTCTGCCGCCGGGAAGGCTCCCAGGACTGAGCGTCCTCAGCTGGGAAAACAGCTCTTTGAAGACACTTTCCCAGGCAGCAGCTCGCGGCTCCCGCTGTGTGTGTAAACATCGCCTACCATGGCGCCCCTGGGAGCCCCATGCAGACTGCAGTAGGACTGCCGCCGCCGCCGGGACACGGGCTGGGTGGGACACTGTGGGTGTACGCCGGGCTGCGGCTCTGGTCCGGGCTAGCTGCTGTCCGTCAGCATTCCAGAGGCGGTTCCTCGGGCCTGCTGGGTTTGGGCAAGTGTGGCCACCCGCGCAGCCCTCAGGACCTGTGTGGGCCTCTGCGGTAGCGGGCGAGGGCTGTGTGGGGCAGGTGGAGACCCGAGTGGGGGCTGTGACCGTCTCTTCCCCCGCCGTGCACCTGTGTGCTCTGTTTCCGAAGGGGCCTTTGGCTCAGTCTGGGGCAGCTGCTGTGGTCGTGGGGTGTGGTCATCTCTGTCCAGCTCAGCCCCTTGCCCCGCGTGCCCTCAGCCGCCCGCTTCAGGTTCCTTGTCCCACAGAGGGCCCGTCCACAACCTTGCCCTCCTGCATGCTGGGTCGTGTCTGCCCTCTGCAGCTGTGTTAGGGTCGGGGCTAGGGTGTACCTCCGGTGCATGGTCCTGCTCGTGGGTGCTGCCCGCGGGTGTTTGCAGGCAGCAGTGGGTGAGGCTGGGGTGGCTCCTAGGGGTGCTGAGAACACGCCCACTCCTTGCTCTGCAGGAGTCTGGGCAGCTGTTGGTGCCCTCCAACTTCCCCCCAGCCCCGTGTGGTGGGCGCCCCTCCCAGCACTGGAGTGCTCTCACCGCCGCTGTGTCCGGGCGGCCCTGTCCCCTCCTGGTCGCTGGGTGGGCAGCTCTGAGGGCAGTGCAGATGCCGGACAGCAGGAATGCATGCCCTGGGCGCTGGCCTGGCGGCTTGGGAAGGGGCTCTGCGTTGCTGCCTGCACCAGGCCCGCCCTGCCCCACGTCAGACACACCCACGCAGCACCTGGCCCCGGCCACGTGGGGGCTGGACGGACCCTCCACGCGTCCCCAGCCACAGTGGATCCTGAAGTGCCAGGAGAGCACCAGCTTCATCTGGCTCCTGGCTCAGCCTGTGTCCTCTGTAAGCTGTGGGTGGCCAGGGCAGTGTGCGCGCTGCAAGCCAGGCCCCCCACCCTGTGCCCGATGTTATCTGGCCGTGTTTCTGCCAAAATAGCCTGTTCTCCAGGCCAGTGGCTCTGCAGCTGTCAGCTGCTGTCCCCGGGAGGCCCCGTGGTGGTATAACGTGAACCTGGGATACATGTGGGTGCAGGAGGGTGCCTCTCCAGCCAAACCACAGCCCTCCACTCCTCGTCCACTGGTGGACTCGCCCCACCTCCCTCCCGCCCCATGTGCTGCAGCAGGCGAAGACTGGGCTGGCCCTCAGTGGTCCCCAAGGTCTGCCCTGCGTCCCCCTACCTCTGCCCGTGCTGCGTGAGGGTCACTTTCCCTCCTGGGCCAGGCTGCTGGGCCCTGGCCTAGTGCTGGGCCGTTCCGCTCTGGAGCCGTCATGGGTGCTGTATTGCCGTTGTCAGCTGCCCTCAGGGCCCTGTGCTGGGCTGCATGTGGCTCTGCCCGGGAGCTGGCCCCTGGCAGAGATGCGGGTTGACATGGTGCACGTGGTGGGTCTGTCCAGCCGTCGGACACCTGGGTGCAGGGCAGCAGGCTTCTGAAGGCGGGGTCCATCGCTCGCTCCCAGGAGGCCTCATCCTCAGGAGGGCGCCCCATGACCACACAGCCAGAAACACGCTTGTCCAGGCACCCGGGATGGCCTCCCTGCCCTTAGGCCAGTTGCCCTGGGCGACTCCTTGGATGTCCTTTGAGGGCCCAGCCCAGGACAGCACACCAGTTCCTGGCCCAGCACAGCTGGTGGCAGGGTGGGGCTGACCACAGGCTCTGAGGGTCCCACAGCTGACCTCAGGCTCTGAGGACCCTGTGGCCACCACCTTGAAGAGCTTGGCCTGGCCTGGCCTGAAACCGCCTCCTGGGGGTCCTCGGCCCTGCCGTGCTATGCAGCTCCGGGTCTGTGAGGATCCCATGGGGACAACTTTGCTGGCTCTGGGGTGTTTAATGAGTTTATACAGCACACCCAACCCCACACACTGTCCAGGTCACCCCGTACCCCGCCGCATGCTCAAGGCTCCCCCCACAACACTTGGGGACATCGGGCAGGCCTTGGAGGAGGGCAGCTGGCACCAGGGGGAGTGTGATGGGGCAGGGGCAGGTGTGGGCCTGGGGGTTGTTGTGGGTGTGGGCGTGGGTATGGATGCAGGTGTGGCTACTATGTGGGATTGGCGCAGGTGCGGGTGCGGGTGTGTGTGGGAGTGGTTACGTGTGGGTGTGGGTGCAGGTGTGGGTGTGGGCGCAGTGTGGCTGTGGTTGTAGTGTGGCTGTGGTTGTGGGAGCAGGTGTGGGTGTGTGCATGGATAGATGTGGGTGTGGGTGCAGGCGCAGGTGTGAGTGCAGGTGTGTGGGAGTGGATACGTGTGAGTGTAGGTGTGTTTGTGGGTAGAGGTGCAGGGGTGTGGGGGTGTGTGCAGGCGTGGGTGTGCGCGTGGATGGATATGGGTGCAGGCGTACGTGTGGGTGCGGGTGTGTGTATGGGTGTGGGCGCAGCTGTGGGTGCAGGAGGGTGCTGGTGTGGGCGGGTGGGTGCAGGTGTGGGTGTGGGTGCAGTTGGGCCCAGGGGCTGGTGAGGTGTGGGTGAGTGTCGGCACCAGGGTGAGTGCGGGTGTGGGTGTGATGGAGAACCCGGCCTTTGCTGCTTTCTGGTGTGTCTGGGAAGCCGCAGGCCTCTTGGTCTCCAGATATCGCGTCACCCCACGCCAGGTGTGTCTGATTGGGGCCTTTGTTGGCCAGTGTCAGACGGCGTCAGTGAGGGAGCTGGGCACACAGGGCGGGCTCAAGTCATGGCACCCGGGCCGTCGCGTGTGTGGCTCCCGTGGGAGGCTGTACCAGGGGTTCCGAGGCTGGGGTGCCGCTCCGGGTTGTTCGGCGCCGGGCCCCTGCGGGGTTTGCCGCACCGTGAGCCAGACCCCATCCCCCATGGGGGGCTGTTCGCTCTGCCCGGTGCCGCTGAGCCTCCTGCTGGGCCGCTCTGTGCCGTCGGGGACCATGGCCTTGAGGGCCGCGTGGCACAGGCGGTTGAGGGCGGACACCCCTGGCTTCTGCTCCAGGTAGAGCCGCAGCTTGTCCCTGAAGGTCTCACCCAGGAAGCTGTAGACAAGCGGGTTCAGGCAGCTGTTGGAGAAGGCCGCCAGGTTGACGATGTGGCCGGTGAGCGGGTGGGCGTGGCGGAAGGACTGCTTGCAGGGGGCGGCGCCGGGTGGGGCGCGCTGCAGGAGGTGGACGCTGATGAAGACGTTCTCGGGCAGCCAGCAGGTGAAGAAGACCAGCACCACGGCCAGGATCATGCGCAGCGCCTTTTGGCGGCGCGGGCGCAGGCTGCGGTGCCGGTGTGCCCGCACCAGCACGCGCACAATGAGTGAGTAGCAGAGGCCGATGATGGCGAAGGGCACCAGGAAGCCCAGGGTCACCTCGAGCCACTGCACCTCCTTGGCGTCGGCGAAGCAGAGGCAGGCCTCGCCCTGGCGCTGCAGGTGCACGGCCGCGAAGGGCACCAGTGTGGCTGACACCGACGCCATCCAGATGAGGCCGCAGCTCAGGCGGGCGTGCCTCATGGTGCGCAGGAGGCCCCCGCGCATGGCCCGGGCCAGGGCCACGTAGCGGTCGAAGCTCATCCAGGTGAGGAAGAAGACGCTGCTGTACATGTTGACCTGCAGGAAGAGCGACATGAAGGTGCAGAGCACGGCCACGTCATAGTACTGCTGGTCCAGGTTGAAGACCTCAATGAGGGAGTCGGCCACCAGGATGAGGTCGGCCGCCGCCAGGTTGATGAAGTAGAGGTCGGGGATGGTCATCTTCTCGCGGAAGCGGATGTTCACCAGCAGGATGAGGATGTTCCCGAGGAAGCCGATGGGGAAGAGGAAGATGGTATAGACACAGGACAGGAACAGGCCGATCACGTACTGCTGGTGCTCCGACAGCTCCCCGGCATGGCTGCCCGGCGTGTGGGACACGTTGAGGGCCAGGGCACTGCCGTTCGGGGCGGCGGGCAGTGTGGCACCCAGCACCGCCTCCATCCCACCCTCACCTCGGCACCTGCCACGCTCACTGTTCGCCAGAGGGGTCGTAGGGCCCCATCGTGGGTTGTGACTCCACCTTCGGAGAGAGGGGCAGTTCCTTGGCAAGGGAGCCCGGCATTGGCGAGGCCAGCACCACACCGAGCTGCGGCAGCTGTTGGCGGGGCCACGGCGTGCTGGTCCCGGGACAGGGGGTCACCACACACCTGGGGACAGACAGAGGGGTGTTGGCTCTTGGCTGTGGGGGGGTGGGGGGACAGGCCCCGCCGTGTCCCTGGAGAGGCAGCAGCCGTGTGGAAAGCGCCGGCGTCCACCACGCACTTTCCCAGGGGCTCCAGGCCTTGCTGTTCAGGCGGCTGTGTGAGTCAGCCTGGCCAGCTGGAGCTTTCTCTTTAAATAGTCAAGGCAGCAGCCTTGTGGGGTAACAGGGTCCCTGACTGGGGCTCTTAGGAAAACTACTGTCTGTCAGAGAGGAAGTGAATTTATCTCAGCCTCCATGGGGAGGAGAAGCCCAGCTGGTCGGGGACACCGGACCTGCCATGAGGCTCGGGCCTGGGAGACTGTCCGGCTGGTGCTAGGCAACAGGAGCCAGGGGCTGAGACTGGTCAGTACGGGCAGGGGTCTCCGCCAGGGGTCAGGTGCTTCTGGCAGGCTGACCACAGCACCCGGACCCCTGCACCGAGACCCCCAAGCCCCGGGTTAGCTTGTTGGCAGAGGATGGGGTAGTGGCACTGTTCTCAGTCCTGTTGCCAGACCTGCCAGCACTCATTGGCTGGGGTCTGGACACAGAAACCGGACAGAAGAGCCAGGGGCAGCCTCAGTGTCCGCGTGTTGCAGGGCTTCCATGAGCCTTCTTGGCTCCCTCTCCGTCCTCCACAGTCTCAGGGCCCTTCCTTGCTGCTGGCGATGTCCTGGGGAGCTGAGACCTCCGTTCCCTGGACCCACAGGACTGACATTCCCAGTCCACATCCTAACCTGGTCCCAGGAGGTTGAGCCTGTCCATGTCCTTGGCCCAGGAGGCCGAGTCCCGTCCATAGCCCTGGCCCAGGAGACTGAGCCCATCCATGGCCCTGGCCCTGGTGTGACTGAATGGTTGGACATTGCTGGCATCCTGTCATAGGTCATAGGACGCCAGTCTTTGCCTGGACCCTCCCGGGTCACCATATCCCCTTCATGTGATGCGGGCCCCTGGGAGTCTGCAGGCAAGCCTGGCAGTGGGCACTGCAGAGCCTCTGATGGAGAAGAGCCCCTGGAGCACGGCAGGCTTCGCCACTGTGTGTTCGTTTCCATGACCCTGTGCCCACCTCTCCCCGCACAGAGCCCTGACTCACCGTGCTGGCCGGCTGGTGTTGCCAGTCCCCTGGGGTCTCTCTGCGGCACCTGCTGTAACCTCCCCCACGATGGGTCCCGCTGGGCGGGGGTAGGCGGATAGTCGGGGAGCTTGCAAGAATGAGTGCAGATAGCCTGGACAGCGCCCAGCCAGCCCAACCCAGCCCAGCCCAGCCCAGCCCAGCCCAGCCCAGCCCAGCCCGCCCTGCTCCTGGTTCCTTCTGTTGCTGCAGCTTTATAGGCCTCGGAGGACCAGCCTCCTTGGACCGCCTTAACCCTTTCCCTGCCAGCACTTCCCTGCTGCCCTGGAGGTCGAGGTTTCTGCTCTTTGCTTTCCTGGGAGACAGATCTGCATCTGAAGGGTCTGTGATGCCCCCCCAGGGAGCAAGCTTGCTGCAGCCTGCCACCTCTCAAAAGTGTCCAGCACAGAGGGAAAGGCACGGGTGCTCTGTGGGGACTCTGTGGTGCTCAGGCCAGCCGCAGGTGGTGGCAGCAGTGGCCACCCGGGGAGAGCTTTCCAGGCTGGTGGAGTTCTCCCTTGGAAGGAGGCGGCACGGAGGCCTCTGACCTCTCCGGCCCAGGGAAGCTGGTTGCTGGCCCTCCGGAGGACGCCGCTGGTGAAACTGTCTTTCAGCCCAGGGCTGCGCTCCTGGCACCTTCCAGAAGGGGCTTGGGAGTGGACTTGCTCCACGGGAGGAAGGCGGGTTAGATTCTGTGGGAAAAAGTGGCTCAGGGAGGGGGCCAAGCCAGGAGTAAGCCCCTAGCACCAGCGGGTATGACCCCCCAAAAAAGGGAAAATGTGCTCAGGGAGGACCCAGATTTTGAGCATGACTTCAGCTACTGCACCAGCTTCTGAGGCACCTGGACCCCTTCCCTGGCACCTCCTGGCAGGAGGGGCAGTGGCCCAGGGGAACAGCCAGCCAGCCAGCGGGCAGACTTGCAGTTTGACGTCTTGGGGTTCTTCAGGGCCTGCTGTCCATCAGCTCCAGGGGTGCTCCCACCGGGACCCTCACGACACGACACTCCCCACACGGCAGCTGCTGCCTCTTATGGGGAGTCCCCCAGGACAGGTCCCGGCTTCCACGGTGGGTAGCTCAGAGCAGGGAGCCCCACCACGCGCACCCACGATGGGGGAATGTCTGGGCCTGTCCGGAGGTGCTGCAGCCGTGGAGCTGTGGGGGGGGCTCTTTCCTGCCGCCTCCCCTGCCCCCGGAGGGCAGAGCCAAGCGCAGCCAGGTGCCAGGCTCACTTCATTGCCCGTGGGGACCAGGGCGGTGATGGTCTCTTTTGCTTTGGTATTGTTTTCTCCCTCCCTTTGTTCATGCTGAGGTGCCTGACTGTGGTAATCACACATTCTGGTTCACTATTTCTCATATTTTTGATTTATTTATTTGGGGAGTTCTGGGCCACACTCAGCATTGCTCTTGGCTGACTCCGGCTCTGGGGTCAAACCTGGAGGGTCCCAGGGGGATATATGAGGTTCCGGGATTGAGTCTGGGTCGTCGGCGTGCAAGGCAGTGGCGCCCCGCCTGCTGTCCCATCGTCTGCTCCCACGTGGAGGCAGGGAATAGTGCCTGCTCTGAGCCTCCAGGTCCTTCCTCCAGGCTTGCGTCCTCAGAGCCTGTGAACTGAGCGGAGTGCTCTTCCGTGCAGCCCACTCGTGGCCCCTGAGTGCCCCTCATGAAGGAAGGGCCCCCAGGCTCTGGCTCTTGGCAGAGTGTGGATCCAGTGTCCTCGGGGGACACATAGGACCACCTGTGGGTGTACCACCTGGAAGTCCTGCTGTGAGGGATGCTGGCCAGTGGTCCTGCATCTGAGGACTCCAGGGCTGATGCTGACATGTGGAATATTCCAGAGAATGGGCTGCAGACCAGGGGTGTGGCTGCCTCATCTCAGGGGCAGCCCAGCTGACCCCCGGCCAGTCTGACCCCTCTCACCCCCTCGTTGCTGCGGGGCTGGGATGGAAGCAGGGCCTCACCCTGCCACAGGCACCTCTGGCCAGTCAGGACTCGCCTGTTCTGTGTTCTGGGGGGTGGCCGCCCCAGAGGGTGGGATCCCGACTCATGCCTGGCCCGTGTGAGTGCTGCTGCAGAGGACTGCAGAGTGGCCCATCCCCATGACACGTCCTGCTGCCACAGACATGGGGAGACCACCACTTCCTCTGCCCTCGAGCCCGCTCCTGGGCGCAGGGCTCAGCTTGCCTGCCACCAGCCGCCCTCACCCCTGAAACCACAGAATGTGGACACCAGGCCAGGGTGGCAATCCCCGAGGGCCACCTCCTGCCGCTGCTGTAGGCAGCGCCTCGCACCCCTACAAGGCTGGATCACTCAGGTGTGGTCAAGCTGCTCAGGGTGGTTTGGCCCTTGGAGGAGACGGGTGGGCAGGGGCCCCTATGGAGCTGGAATTGATGGGAGTAGCAGATGGTGTAGATGAGACCTAGAGGTAGGTCCGTGACCTCAGCTGACACAGAGACACAGACAAGTAAAATGAAGGAGCAGTTTATTGGGAATTCTGCCGGGCAGGCTCCACAAGCCTCAGGTGAGTCTGGGGGAGAGCCGCGTCCTGGGAGAGACTAAAGGGGCTTTTAAGTTGTCTTGGGTGGGAAAAGGGAGCCAAGACTAGTGGAACCGGTGGGCTGGGTCTGGCCTGTTTTCTGTTGGGGGGTCGATGGTGAGGCAGCAGGGAGTGCAGCCTGGTGGCCTGGCGCCAGGCAGGGGGCCTAGAAGTCCTGTCCTCCTCGCTGGTGGCACGATGATCTCTGGTTCCGGGAATGTTGCTGTCTCATCAGCTGGTCATCATTTTGTTCCAGTGGCCATTTTATCCGAGCAAACCTTACATCTCGGGCTGCGAGGTACCGACCATTCTGACAGCCGAGCTAGGTCCGCTCAGCTGGGAATGAAAGTTTGTGGCAGGGACAGAACCTGGCTCGCAGGACAGCAGATGGCTCGGGAGGGCCCTGTGTCCTGTGTCTTCTCCCGGCAGCTGTACACGTCGCAGCCTGCCTGCGTCCTTGATGCGGGGTGCGGCTGTGGGCCTTGGGCTGTGGCCGCACAGCCATTTCCTTGGCTAAGCTGGGTGGTGGGCTGGAGCAATAGCAAGCGGGTAGGGCATTTGCCTTGCATACAGCCAGCCCAGCCGACCCGAGTTCGATTCCTCTGCCCCTCTCAGAGAGAGAGCCCGGCAAGCTACCGAGAGTATCTCGCCCGCACGGCAAAGCCTGGCAAGCTACCCGTGACGTATTCGATATGCCAAACACAGTAACAAGTCTCGCCATGGAGACGTTCCTGGGCCCGCTCGAGCAGATCGATGAACAACGGGAGGACCGTGCACAGAGCAGTGCAAGCTGGGTGGCAGAAAGCGAGTCAGCAAGCGCTTGGTGAGCACTGTGTGCAGTGCTGGCAGGTGAGACCGAGTGTCCCGGCGTGGCCCCCTCAGCCCTCTGCTCTCTTCAGGGCGGTGCGGTTCTGCGCGCCAGCCCCTCGGCACCAACGGCCCAGGTGCCCGGGGGCGCGACACAGGGCCAGCCTGCAGGGGGCGTGCAGGAGGAGGGTGGCCAGTGAGCTGCAGCAGCTCTCGCCAAACAGGACCAGCTCGGCCAGGTTCACGAGCAGCTCGTCCCATGGCGAGCCCAGGGCCCGCTGCAGCTTGCGCCTAGCCCGCTGCAGCAGCGCCACACTGTAGAAGAGCCGGCACGCAAATGCGATCAGAGCCACCGCCAGAACTACGCTGCGGGCCGAGGCTGTGGCCTTTGGGGGGCTGACCACCCGCCGGACCAGCCGGGCAGCCAGCAGGGCGCAGAGGACCAGCTCTAGGAGCGAGGCCAGCCCGAAGCCCAGACTGAACTTCACCATCTCATACTCGGGCCAGGCGGTCAGGGGGTCCACCTGGCACAGAGTGGGGATGTACAGCTGCCCAGCCGTGCCCAGCAGGGACACCACTGCCAGGGAGCTGCCGAGTGCACAGCCCCCGAGGGCGGCCAGGGTTGCGGTGGGCCGGCAGGCCGGCACCGGCAGCAGGACCAGAAAGAGCATGGCCAGCTGCAGGTACTGAGAGTAGAAGTAGCACAGGTTCGCCAGGAAGGAGAGGGCCGCGCAGCACAAGTGGGTGACGGCCAGGTAATCTGGCCGGCTGAGCACAGTGAGCGACAGCATCGTGGCCAGCAGGTTGGTGACTGTGAGGGCCAGGAGAAACACGTCCAGGTTGCCCAGCCTGGCACGGCGTCGGACGAAGGTGGCCAGGTTGAAGAGCCCGGCGGCCAGGCTCAGCGGGATGCACAGGACCACGTAGACATACACGCACCTTGAGAGCAGGCCCTGGGCCGTGATGATGTCCTCCACGGCCGTGGACACGTAGCTGGGGTAGTGGATCCAAGACATGTTGTGGGAGGGCATCCTGGCCGCGCCCCTGGAACAGAAGCACAGCTGAAGGCTCAGGGGAGTGTTTCCTGGGTTTCTGGGAGTCCTGAAGACAGCAGACCATAGGGCCAGACTGCTCTGAATGGGGACCGTGCAGTGGGCTGGTGGGTACAGGAACTCCTCCCCACCCTCTGGACATTCTGCTCCCCCCTTGCCATGCCCAGTGAGCCTCATCATTGGGGAAAAGGTGTCTGCAGAGCCCGGCTGTGTGCATGCATGTGTGTACACAGGAGCTGGGGGGGGAGTGTCTTGTGTGTACACGGGAGCTGGGGGAGTGTGCGTGTGTGCATAGGAGCGGGGAATGTGTTCATGCATGCATGCATAGGAGCTGGGGTAGGTGTGAATGTGCAGGGGAGCAGGGGAGCTGGAGTGTGTGTGCAGGGTTGTGTATGTGTGTGCAGGGGAGCTGGGGTGTGTGTGTGTGTGTGTGTGTGTGCGCTGGAGCTGGGCTGTGTACACGCGCATTTGCGTGCAGGTCTGGCGTTTGGCTGTGTTAGGGTATGCACCCCTGCAGCAGGCTCCCAGTGGCTGTTGGGGCAGTCTCAGCCCGTGCAGGGCCTTCTGCTGCTGAGCAGCCTCTCCCACATGGGCTGTGGGGTCTGTGTGCTTGTAAGGGGGTCAGTTGATTGTCCCTAGAGGACTCTGCGGTGCTGGCTTGTGGGTGGGCCCCCCCGAAGGCACAGTGATGTCCCTGCTTGCCCGTTTGGCTGCGCTCCAGCAGTTGACTTCTGTGTGGGCCTGTCAGCGTTATTCCTTGCTGAATCCCCAGCAGCAAAAGAGGTTAGAAGGGGAACTGCCAATTGGCCCACAGGACGAAGGGACGAAGGGCGGAAGAAGGGGGCATGATTTCCCGGTTGTGCCCGAGGCATCTGCTGGTTCGCTGCCCTTGCCTTGGGGTGCGTGTGCCCATTTGCACCCTGAGCTCAGACTGTAGGAGGGAACGGCCTCTTTGTTCCTGACCCAAGGCCACCGGCTGTGCGCATGATGTGGTGGGACTGCTGCAGGCCCCTCTCCTGTGCCGTGACCTGCCTCAGTGGCCAGCTCCCTGCTACAGAGAGCCCCACTCAGAACCCACGCACTGCCACTAGCACTCCGTGCCCCTGCCCTGTGGGTCAGACCCCGCAACCCCCGCACTGCTGGTGAGGACTCCACGTCCCCGGGGGGCCTTTCGCCTCTAGTGGCCCAGGGCCAGAAGAGGCAGCTGCCCAGGCTCGGCACCCCTCTCTCTCTCCTTCCTCACAGGCCTGACCGAACCTGGGGCTTCCCACACACCTTCCAGGTCACTATGTCTGATGGAGTCACTTGCCCCTTGCTCTGTGCACGCTGGACATTGTTCATCAGGGGCTTGTGCAGTGCTTTTGCCAGCACCTGTCGTGGTTGCATTGGTTCACTGCCTGCCGCAGCTTCTACCTGTGGTTTCGTCTGCTGCTGTGTCTGGGTCTAAGTCTGGGTCCAGTCAGGGCCCGGGTCTGGGTCTGGGTCTGGGTCTGGGCCCTGTCAGGGCCCAGCTCTGGGTGCCATCTGCATCCAAACCCAAACTCAACCATCCCATCTGTGTCTGAGTTTCCATCTGTGTCCCACCGCCCACCTCTGGCCAGATGTCTGGAGATAAACAAGACTTTTTCGCGGGCCCTTGGAGGAGCACCTGGTCCCACTCCCCACCCGCTGCCTGCAGGCCCTGCAGTTCTGCAGGAAACAGTGGGCCCAGAGCCATGTGTGATGCCCCTGCCCTCATTCTCATTTCAGCCTTGAGAGCTCAGGTCTTGGGGCCAGGGGTGTGTGTGTGTGTGTGTGTGTGTGTGCGCGCGCGCGCGCGCAGGGTGTGTGTGTGTGTGTGTGTGTGCACAGGGTGTGTGTGTGTGTGTGTGCGCACAGGGGGTGTGTGCGTGTGTGTGTGTATGTGTGTGTGTGTGTGCGCGCACATGCTGCCTAGAGTCCTGCCTCGTGTCACTGCCGCAGGTGGATCCAGCACACTCAGGCAGGGATAATGTCCTTCCTGTGCTGATGGTCAGGTTCAGGGTGGTTTCAGGACACAAATTGAGATGAGTGGCCAGCCCCGAGGACGCGACCCGTAGTGTCTCCAATTAGAGCTGATTGGACGGAAGCATCATCTCAGAGCCGCGGCCTGACAGGATGCAGCGCTGAGCTCCTCTCCAGCACTTCCTGGCATCATGTCGAGGGCAGGGCTGCTGGCCGGCCCCTGCACCCGCTGGCCCTCCCTGGCACGGCACTGCCCCCTCTCCCCGTGGTGGACCCTCGCTCGTGTCTCTGGCCAGCTGAGCAGCCCAGACGGGGTCCTGCTTCTACGGCATTGCCCTGCAGAGGTGGTGGGTGCATTCTTCCCCACCCCTCAGTGCTGCGTCCCTGCTTGCCCCCCACCCCCCGGTGCACTCTGGCCATGCCCTTCCTGGGACCTGGGCCCCCACCTCCTCCTGGTTGCCCTCTCTCAGGCTCCATCTCTCCTCATCCCCTTGTTCTGGAACTGGGAAGGCAGAGAGAGGAGTCACCCGGAAGGTGGGGCTGGAGACAGCGCAGCTTTGCAGGCAGGGGGCCCGGCTCCGTCCCTGGAACCACCGGGTGTCGCCCACACACTCACGCCATACCCCCAAAAGAAAAGTGGGAGACGCTTTCTTATGAAAAAAGCATCTTACGGAGAGGGACAGACAGAGCTGGGGTCGGGGTGGGCCCTGTTGACCACTAGGCCCCACGGTTCCTCCCTCTGGTGGGCGCTGAGGGCAAGGCTGCAGGGGAAGCCCAGCCTGGAGGTCTGCACACAGGGTCCTGGCAGCCACTTGAATGTTCCTCCCAGGGTGGGCTCCTGGGGCTTTTGTGTCCCCCAGGAAGTGGCTTGCTCTGCTTCCAGGCCACGCGCATGGGCTTCTGGGCGCTTCCCGGAGCCACAGGACCGTCCTGCCAAATGCGGGCCCCAGGGAGCGTGGCGAGGCCTGAGAATGTTGTGTTCTTCCCAGCAGCTCCTTAAATAGTCTCCAAGTGGGCTGGGAGCCTGCCAGTCCCAGCCTGGGGAGGCACTGCAGGCCCCACGCGCCAGCCCTCTGAGGGGCTCCGGGCTTCCAGGCCCGGCTGCCTTCTCTCTGCCTTCCGCCGACCCCACCTGCTGCTGCAGGGGTCGCTGCTCTGACGTCGTGTCTGGGTCACTGTCCTGCTCCCAGGGGAGCCGCTGCTCTCATAACCACAGTGGCCCAGGAGTGTGCCCCTTGGCCTGGCCTGGCCTTCCCCACACACTGGGGCTGCACCATGTGGACACTTTCCTCCCGGGCTCCTGGCTCTGCAGACAGGAATGAGTGACCCAAGACCTGCGCCTGAGCCACGTGGGCACCTGGACCCCCTGCAGCCCCACCTGCCCGTCCCCTCCCCCCGCGCTCAGCGCTGCCCTCAGATGCCCGCATCTCCAGAGTGACCAGCTCCCCAGAGGCGGCGGAGACTCACCTGGGTGGCTGGTGCCACTTCCTTCTCCCCACGGCCGTCCAGTCACGTGACTGGGCACCACCCCAGATGCCGGTCCAGCCTGGGCGCTGCCTGTCTTGGATGCCTCTATCTCAGTAGTGCACACAGCCGCTCTCACAAAGCGAGTGCCCCTCTCTGGATCTGTCCGGAGAAGCTGGAGGGTGTGGAGGGGACAGGAAATTCCTGGGGACATGTCTGGCCCAGTAGGTGGAGGGCTTGGAAGGGGATCCGGAAACTCACGGTTTCCTGCTGGCCCCACCCAGGACTTAAAGGAGAAGGGCCAGCCGGGCAGTCCTGCAGCACCTTCCCGACACCTGCCTGTGTAGAGTCCAGCATTCGCAGCAGGGCGGGCGTGGCCCCCCCGCCCTCTGTCTTGCCCGTGTTCACAGCACACCTGGAGGGGCTACCGGGTTCTTTGGCCTCAATGTGCAGGACCCCTCTGTGGGAGGAGCTATGCTAGGTGGCAGAGCGCCCCCTGCTGCCTGCCTGTTGCTATGGCAGTGTGACTGATGGTGCCCTCGGCTCTGCCTCTGACCCTCAGCTCCTGGGGGCACCATGGGCAGGCCAGGAGCTCTGCCTCTGGCTCCTCCCAGGGCATGCGGGGTTCAGAGGCATGCCTGCTTGGAACATGTGTGCTTGAACCTGTGCTTGGGACACACGTATGCCTGGACCCGTCTTGGGCACACGTGTGCCTCGACTCATGCTCAGACATGTGTGTGCCTGGATCCATGCTTGGATACGTATCTGGACCCATGCCCAGACATGTATGTGCATGGACCTGTGCTTGGACACACGTGTGCCTGGACCCGTGTCAGGACCCATGTGTGCCCAGACCCATGTTGGACACGTCTGTACTTGGACATGTGTGTGCCTGGAACTGTGCTCAGAATATGTGTGTCTGGATCCATGCATGGAACACGTGTGTGCCTGAACCTCTGCACAGACATGTGTATGCCTAGACCTGTGCTAGGGACATGCATTTGCCTAGACCCTTGCTCAGGACACATGTGTGCCTGGACCCGTGCTCAGGACACAGATATGTCTGGACCCATGCTTGGGACATGCATGTACCTGGACCCGTGCGTGTATGCCTGGACCCGTGCTCAGGACACAGATATGTCTGGACCCATGCTTGGGACATGCATGTGCCTGGACCCGTGCTCGGGACACAGATATGTCTGGACCCGTGCATGTGTCTGGGGACATGCTTGGGACATGCGTGTGGACCCGTGCTCGGGACATGCGTGTGCTTGGACCTGTGCTTGGGACACGCATGCCTGGACCTGTGCTTGGGTCACACATATGCCTTGACCCGTGCTTGGTACACGTGTGTGCCTAGACCCATGCTCAGACATGTGTGTACCCAGACCCATGCTTGTGCCTGGACCCTTGCTTGGACATGCCTGTGCTTATGTGCCTGGATCCTTAGATTTTCACTGTTCTTGGCCCTGCCACTGCCAGCCTTGCTTGCCGACTTCTGTTCCTGCCGAGCACTTGAAGGCTCTGCTGCCCCCGGAGTCCCCGGCTTCCTTGTGACAAAGGGTGTCAGCCCTTGGCAAAGCTGCGTGTCTGCACACCGCTCTCCTGAGGTTTCAGGGGTGTCCGCAGAGCAGCCCTGGCATGGGGTGGGCACTCACTCAGCCCATCCCTCCCCAGCCTCATCCCTGTGAAGCCCCGGGGGCTCCTGTGTTCCTGGGTCTATGCAGAGACAGGAGAGCGTGGCCCTCCAGTGGCTATCGCAGTCCGGGGGGCATGCCCTGCTGAGGGTGGGAGATGTGTCCCGGGCCGGGGGCTCACTGAGGAGATGCCACGGGAGCTATTGAAGGGGAGGGGGTGCCGTCCAGCCCACCCGGCTTAGGAAGTGCCCTGAACCTCCCAGGGCCTGGTGCCATCGGCTGTGCCTTGGCGGGAGACTGCAGCCCTTTGGCTGGGCCTCCTGCTCCCCCTAGAGGTGGACGCCGCTGGTGGCCACGCAATGACACTGCAGCTGCCACTGCTCCCCTCTGGCTGCCCTCTTTCAGAAGGAGCCTTTTCCATGTTTCCAGAAGGTTCCCTCAGGCCCTCCCCTGCTGTGTGCCTGGCGCTCCGCTCTGCCCACTGTGGCAAGTGAGATGCCTTGTGCCCGTGGGAACGCCTGGAGGCGAGTGGGCCCAGCAGAGGGTGTGTCTGCAGGGGGCGGTCCCAGGTGGACGCCCAGGAGTATGGACAGGATGAGGGGCGCCCTTTCTGCTGGGGTGCCAGTGCCAAACTCAGGCGCCGAGGTAGACCTGTGAGGGTCCCGGCTGTGGCACATGGGAGTCGCTGCGCAGGGCTCCTGCAGGGTCTCGCCCACCCTTGGCTGTGCACCTGTTCTGTCCCCATGGGCATTCATCAGTCACGCTTTGGGCCCCTGGAAGTGGGCAAGTTCCTGAGTGGAGCGGACTGGAGACAGCTCTGTCCACTTGCCACCAAACATACATATGGGGGCTGGGACCACAAACGAGTCTCGGAGCTTCTGGGGGCCGCCCGGCGCGTGGCTGCCCTGCCCCATGGCTCCGTGCTCCTCCTGCGTGTGGGCGCCCTGAGGCTGGACACAGACAGTCTGCCCTTCCACATTTATTCTGGCCCCACTTGTGTGGGGACAGCCCGGGCTCCACCACACGCCTGCTCCCCCTCTGGGGGTCCATCTCTGCAGACTCTCTCCTCCTGAGGATGGGGTGTCACAGGAGTCCATGGGGTGCTGGCAGCTCCTGCTGCACATGCGCGGGAGGGGGGGAGGCGTGCGTGCGTAGTGTTGCGGGGAGGGTGGGCAGTGTCCAGCGATGGCAGCTTAGGACATCCTGAGAAAGACCAAGGTGCAGGAGGCTGGTGGTGCCCAGCTGGCCGTGGGGTCTGGACAGGAACCTCCTGTGCAATGCTTCCAGGGGCTGATATCTATGGTGCCGCCTGCTGCCCTCCCGCAGGGTCCGAGGGGCAGTGCCAGTGGCCACAGCGCAACCTCCTGCCCAGCCGCTGAAGCTTGCTGGGGAACTGGCTGCTGAGGCTGCGGTAGAGCAGCGGTGTGATGGAGCTGCTGGCGAAAGCCAGGCACCGGGCTGCGTCCTTGGCCAGGACCAGCAGCCCCAGGCCCTGGTTCTCAGCGGGCTTGTCCCTGGAGGCCAGCAGGGAGTGGCCCAGGAGGCTTAGGTAGTAGGGCGTCCAGAGGCCAAACTGCGCGCACACAGTGGCCACCACGAGCCGGTGCACCGAGGGGTCCAGGCGAGTGGCTTCGCGGTCCAGCGGCGTGTCCTCCTTGCGCAGCCGGACGCTGAGCGCCAGCGCGTAGAGCACGGCCAGGGCGGGCACCAGGTAGCCGACGACCACCAGGATGGCGTCGGCCGCCGCCGTGTCCTGCAGCCGCGTGCACTCGGCCACCCGGGCCGCCACATGGCTGCACACGTAGAGCAGCAGCGACGAGAAGCTGGTGAGCAGGGCGCCGCCCCACACGAAGCCGCACACGTGCCGGGTGTTGTAGGCGCTGGCCATGTAGGTGCGGGGCAGCGCCCGCTCGATGCAGCAGTCCAGGCTGAGCAGCGCCGTGGAGTAGGTGCTCACCAGCGCACACACATGGAACAGCAGCAGCAGCGTGACGTGGGCCTCGCGGCTCAGCCCCCAGCGCGCCCAGCCCGCGGCCGCTGAGCCCAGCAGCTGCACGGGCGCCAGCGCGCTCAGCACCAGCCCAGCCGCGGCCAGGTTGGTGAAGTAGACGTCGGGCATGGCCATGGCGTGCGTGTCGCTGAGGTTGGCCAGCAGCAGCAGCGCGTTGTAGCCCAGGCCCAGGGGGCAGCCCACCACCAGGTACAGCAGCGACAGCACCGACAGCGCCAGCGGCAGGTGCTGGCACGCCAGGTCCTCGGCCCGGCCCGTGCTGTTGAGCGGGCCGCAGCTCCACATGGCGGTGGCGGGAGCTGTGGGCAAGCGGCACAGGGTTACTTTCCCACCCTGTCGGCCCCGCCCCCGCCCCTGCGGCTGCTTCCTGGGGCCCCCTCCCTCCCCAATATGCCTGTGCGCCGGGTGCCTCTTCAGGCCCCGCCTGCGGGAGGGGTGCGGGGTGAAGAGGAAGGGGAGCAGGCATCTGCAATGGGGCCCTGGAGAGGCCTGCCCTGGCCGCCGCCTCCCACCAGCGCTGACTGTCCCCTCATCCCCGCACCTGGCACACTTCCCCTCGGGGCTTCCTGCTTCCCTGTCCCCGAGCTGGACAGGATGTCCATCCAGGGCCCAGGGGAAGAGTGGCCGGTGGCGCCTCCCGAGCTGCTTCCTCAGCTGAGCCAAAGCTACTAGGGACAGAGAAGCAGGCAGCAGGCCCCACACATGGGGCCTCTCTGCCAGTGCCCCCAAGTCCCCCTTCTGTCCCCCCAAGTCCCCCTATGCCCTCCAGGCACTCCATGTCCACAAGTTCCCCCTGTGCCCCCCAAATTCCCCCAAGTCCCCCTGTGCCCAGAGTCTCCCCATGCCTCCTCCCCCTGTGCCCCTAGCCCTTCTGTGCCCACTGACCCCCGAGTCACCCCCTGTGCTTGGTGAGACCCCTCCCCTGTGAGTGCTGAGGCTGGATCCCATTCCCCACACCAGGACCTGGCACCCACTTCAGGGTCCCTGGGGAGGTGGCCCAGGTGGGGCTCTGAGCCCACAGCACCTCGTTCCTCTCTGGGGGGTCCTGACTGACTTGAGGAGGAGCAGCCCTGGGGAGAGGCAGGTGCAGGACGGCGGTCGGGCTCACGGTGTGGGGGTAGTCAGCACAGTGTTTGCCAGTCTGGGTGGGACGCCCTGGGGCAGACTCCTGATCCCTGTGCTCATGCCCTGAGGGGATGCAGGATGCACACAGGATGCAGGTAGACACCATATCCCAGGCTGGACTGGAGGGCCAGGTGGCCCCTGGCAGTGGCCACAGCTGAGCAACTCAGGCAGGGGCTACCCTAGAGGGACATGGCCAAGGACAGAGCCTGGGGCCGTAGCGAGGCTCCCACAAGGGAGGGACAGATGTACTGTGGGTGCTTTGGGCAGCAGGTGATGGCCATTGCCCACCCAGGCTGAGGGCCTGCTCAGCGAAGGCGCTGGGTGGGGTCCTGTGTGCTGACTTAGCCATCGGTAC